GCCTCAAAGTTTGACGTACTGTGCGTTCAGAGATGCTCTTCTGCCCACCTTGGTTGTAACGGGTGGTTATTTGAGTCACTGTTGCCCTTCTATCAGCTCGAACCAGTCTGGCCATTCTCCTCTGACCTCTGGCATCAACAAGGCATTTCCACCCACAGAACTGCCGCTCACTGGATGTTTTTTCTTTTTCTGACCATTCTCTGTAAACCCTAGAGATGGTTGTGCAGGAAAATCCCAGTAGATCAGCAGTTTCTGAAATACTCAGACCAGCCCTTCTGGCACCAACAATCATGCCACGTTCAAAGTCACTCAAATCACCTTTCTTCCCCATACTGATGCTCGGTTTGAACTGCAGGAGATTGTCTTGACCATGTCTACATGCCTAAATGCACTGAGTTGCCGCCATGTGATTGGCTGTGTAGAAATTAAGTGTTAACGAGCAGTTGGACAGGTGTACCTAATAAAGTGACCGGTGAGTGTATAAAAATTTTTTTAGGTCAGCAGTGGTTCTTGCCTCAGGTCTTTCTCCTAGGGACCATTTTTTTCTTAGCTTCCCTATTTTTGATGAACCATAAATACTTGCCTTTACTGAGGCAAGTTAACCTAACTGAAGAGCTTTAGATAATATTCTTTTGTTTTTTCCTGTTATCTCCTGGATGAACTGTCGATGCACACTTGTTAACCCTTGTTAGAAAAGGGGAACAAAGCCAATACTGGTCCACAAAATGTATCAAATATTTGAAACCTTTTTTATATATATTTCATCAGTTTATCATTTTTGTTGAAATGTTTTCAAAAATTTTCAAACATTTCACACGATTTGCTACTTTCTTATCCTTTTTCTACAAAGGTAACCTTCCTCTCCCTCTTCCTCTCCATCACTCCCACTCAATCCCCAAATCCCTTTCTTGCTTTCGATAATGGTAATTAGAATATCACTATGATTGAAAATTGGCAAAGCTTAAAGAGGAAATAGGTTTTCTAATCAAAAGCTGCCTCTTTGCTGGAATCCTGATGCTTCCTTGGCTGAAAAATGTTCTTCTATGATGAGAGCCTAAATGACTGCCAGACAGTTCTGAAGGCCAACTCTCCCCTCTCTTTCTGCAGTTTTGGACTAATGCCTCCGCTCAGCCTGATTTCACTAATTCTTTTATTCCCTTATTTTAGGTTTTAGATGACCTCCTATCAAGGAGACTTTTTATTGCTTTAAAATCAACATGTAGATAACTCCAAAGCACTGGGTCAGTTTCAACACCATACCTGTCCTTAGGTTGCTTGTTATGTAAATATTATGCAAAAGTTAGAAATTTTACATCTCAGAGGTTAGGTGCAGGACTAAGGTGTGTTATGTTAGGTGTGTATTGATATTAAATAGGGTAAGGGTCTGGGTTAGGAAATGGAATGAATGGGAAATGTTTGGAAGTTAATATACAGTAACAGCCATTTAAAATGGGCCTTCCCAGTCAGTCAGCCGAATGGCTTCCCACTTCCCTCCAACTTCCAGCAACATCTTCAACTTCCATCCGCTGGAGTGACCCCCTCTTGCATATATCTTTACTCTGACTCCACCTTTTCACTGAATTTAAGAGTCTGACCAGGAGATGACGCTTCGCTTTAGATCTTAATGTCCCCAAATCATGACAGAAAGAATATTTTAGTACAAAGATTGATGTTTGAAAAGGAATTGTAGGGGACAAGCCAAGGGCCCATTAAGGAATGTTGGGGAATTTTGAATGGTTACTACTGTAAAAAGAACAGCAGAGCATGACTTATGTATATGTATGATTATCATTTAATCCAGTGTTATGTAAAAAAGGAAAAGAAAACCTTTTTCAGAATCTAGGAGAGAATTGTCCATAATGGGGCCCAGGGGCTGTTCTTGCTTCCTGGATTGATTTTCTGCAGCCACCGATTGCAATTCCAGAGTAGTACATTTTCCACCAGGCAGCACAGTGTTACATTAATATCCGCAAATGAAAATCTACTTAAAATACTATATCAGATACTAAACAACAGATTTGTCTTCTGATAACCAGGCTTCCTGCTTGCTTTAATAGAGTGTCATTCATCAAGTGACTTTTACTCCAAGATCGGATTTTCTCTTCATAATTTCTGTTTTGTTCCAACTTTTGATAATGATTGTTTTTGTTTTTTTATTAATAGCCTAAGATAATTTTCTCATCCGCAATGCTTATAATGAAAAAAACTTAATAAGTTTTGGATCTACAATATTGTTCAATTGTTCACATTCCTTCCCTACATGAAATCAAGACTATTTCCTAAAGTTTTATGGATGTTTAGCTTTTATAATGGAGCTGGTAAAAAAAAAAAAAATATATATTATTTTTGTTTTATGTTTATCTATATTGTGTTATCTGTACTTTTTATTGACAATTTTGGTTACGTGACCAAAAGTTTCATCTGTACTAGTTTAGGATATATAAACAGAAAATTCAGAACAGTTTTCACATCAATGCTTTAGTTTTTTTTTTTCTTGTGGTCAATCATCCTGAAACTAATGGGTGTTACGTTTTCAATATGGCATTAATCAAATATTTAATTACAAATAAATGAAAGTGAAACACTATAGGTATAGATATAATATGATTAAATTATCTAATTAACTGTTTTTACATCACATAAAAATATTTTAGTAAAAATAGGTTTAATCAACTGAAAAATTTGAGTCTTTCCCATAGTTTTAAAAAAATTGATGTTGCTATTTATTGCTTTAAATTACATACGTTGAAGCATTCTGCTTGCTTTCATTTTGATGTTGCAGACCTGTTAAAGAAAATATGACTGTTTGATGTATAAAAAAGTTCTATATTGAACCACTAAGTAATTATATTTTATATATTTATTATTTTATCTTATCATTTTTCTTATCTTTTCTATTTTTTTCTTCTGGCATATGCCAGTTGAAAAATGCCTTATGCCAGTTGCAAACTGGTATGTACCAGTTGAAAAACAGAATATGCCAGTTCCATCAAAGGTCCTACATGGTCGCTGAATATCTAAATATGGTTTTATAGACACTATATTTTTGCAGTCATGAAAAAATTGTTTTTATGTATGTAGTGGCAAATATGTCTGTGTTGATAAAGATATTAAATAGTCCTACCACCAAATCTTGTTTGCTTTGATAATGTGACTAAATATTCCAGAAAAGGCAACATATTGTCAGTATGAAGTGGATCCAGAGTCATCTGCTAACAAAAAAATGGTTAAAACATTTTAACAAATGAACAGATTTTGTGTTGTTTTGAAGAATAATTGGACATTTCTTTAAATAATAAAGGAACTGAGTCAGTAGTTTATGCTTAACTTTAATTTGTTAAACTCATAACTCTACAGTGACTAATTACTTATATTTAGATTTAAAGAAATTTTAGGCAAGATGTATCTATATGTGACTAAAAGGAAATGCTAAATACTAAATAAGAAAATGACAAATTTTGTCTGCTTTGGACTTCCTTTTAATTACTAAAATTTTATTGGAAAGTAATATTAAAATAGACTAATCGAAGTAAATATGCCAAATTACATAAGTAATAGGTTAACAATGTATCTGAGTAAAATGACGGAGAATATAAATTACAGGATTTAATTCTTACATTAAGATGAATTATAGAGGTTTAAAAATTAGCAATTTTTGACTTTTTTTTGCTGTTTTAAATTATTGAAAAAGAAAAATTAAATAAAAAAATACAATTTTTACTGTCAGTATGTAACCATGATTATGAAATGTTGCTGAGGCACAGGGCACATCTAATACACAGATATAAGTCAAAACCCAAAAGATAACATACAGGGAATCTGGCATGATTGCGGGAGGTTGCAGGTTCGATTCCCGGCCCGGGGTCTTTCTGCATGTTCTCCCTGAGCAACTGTGGGTTGTCTCTTGGTACTCCGGCTTCCTCCCACGATCTAAAAACACGACTGTTAGGTTAATTGGCTTCTCTAAATTCTCCTTAGGTGTGAGTGTGTGCGTTTGTCTCTGTGTTGCCCTGCGATGGACTGGCAACTTGTCCAGGGTGGACCCCACCTCTCCCATAGACAGCTAGAGATAGACAACGTAGGGGATAAAGCGTGTCAGAGGATGGATGGATGGCTGGCTGGATGCAACTGTTGATGAAACTGCCTATGGATGGCTGGGGCGTCTGCTTTCACAGATTTTGGAAATAAATTGCTGTAAATACTTTTCTTGTTGATGTAATTTTCCTGCATAATTTTCCTGCCAGAAGTAGGACGATCAGTGCTTGCCCAGGGGTGCACTGGTGGCATCTCTGAAAATGCGTCTGGCCCTTTTCTGAACTGGTCCAGATCCACTTGGTGTTATCCAATATCCCTGTGATGTCCTCTCCACACATTTTTCCACTCCTATGCCATGCAGCCCCCACCTCACATACTCAGGCATGATTTCCACTGTTGCGCTTACTGAAAAAAGTTTTTGAACACCTGAGCATAGCCTGGTTTGTCTCTGTTGTTTGACCTTCACCTGGCTGGACGTGTTCTCAGTCTAGAATAATTTATCTATGTTTTCCACAAGTTCCACCATTTCCCCGTGTATGAAGAGAGCAGTGATGCTTTGTGTTGCTGGTGTCCAATCTAACTACATTATGTTTTAGCCCCCAAACTTTCTATTAAAGTTATTAGCTATGATCAAATGCAGAAATAAGGCATATCTTCACATTTTATTTAAAAAGAATTTAAACTGCAGCCTATTTCTTTACTTCCTTTGAATAGGATATCAGGATTATGCTACATTGTAAGTGGATTTGTTGGTCTTTTATATCACAAATGCAACTGTTGTTTTCTTAAAAATACTCTATTATTTCAATGAGTGTTTCATCCTTCAGCTGAAAACGACACATTTTCTGCTTATTTTCTTGTTTCTTTTGTTCTTTACCAGCATGCTCTATTATATTCATGCAAATCAAATCAGCCTTAAGCAGGTGCTTCACAGCTAATCCTCCTTTCTGTTCTTTTGTTTTTTGGCCCCAACCCCACCTTCCCTGTTTCCACCTACCTGACCCTTACAACAAAAGGAGCTTCACAGGAACCAGGTAAGCTTTTTCCTGCATGTTTTCCGTTCCTCTTTGCCGCCCCTATCTTTTCCTGTTTATTTGATTAATTTATTTTATGCAGTCTTCCTGTTAACTGCTTGTATTTGAGTCAAAAAATGTCACAATAATAATAAGTTGTTAGTTCATATAATATACAATTGATCTTAGGTGTCTCCAAAGTAGGCAAAGTGGTGCTGTGGCTCCCAGTCTTAAGCCAAAAATGTATCTGATCTGCAGTTTTGGAATTTCATAAAGTCTTTTTTAATTTTTTTAATAATTTGATAAACTCTTATACAAACCTCCTTATTCATAAAGTTGCTTTCCCTGAGCATAACTAAGAGTTTATTAAAAAAGGTAGAATGAACTAAACCGCAGATCACATCTCTTAGTGTCCTGACAGTTCTGAAAATCTCAGACTGTAAATGGGAGAAAATTCGATAGAAAAATGTTTCACACCACTGTGAAACATTTGAATGGAAAAAGCTTCCTGGATTGGAAGCGAAACATCGTCAAACTTGGAAACAGAATCCAGTGGTTTGTTTTTTAATTTTTTTGTGGAGTTTAACACTAATACAGGAAGACAGAGCTGGTGGCTTTGACCTGTAACCTGTCCGTGGCAGCAGAACGAAAGATCAGATCAATGTCTCGTCCCCAAATGTAGAAAGGCAAATGTTCTCATATTAAATTTAGCTAAAAACTCTTTAACTGGAATGATAAATGTGAAGTAAGTTAAAAACAGAAGAAAAAGGCATCAAGTAGAGATCTTCAGAATAAATGCATGGTATATCCGTCAGCTACACCACACTGCAAAAAATGGAAATCTAAATGAGTCATTTTTGCTTAAATTCAGTGCATTTTTTCTTGAATTGAGGAGTTAACTGAGATAATTTGCCAATGGAACAAGAAAATTTACATTTAAAATAAGAAAAGAAAAATAGCGTTGTCTTATTTCAAGTGCATATTATCTAATTATCTTGTTTTAGGAGTAGAAATACTCATTCCATTGGCAAATAATATTACCGGTATTTATCTGCTAAATTTAATGGTAAATACACTCAATTTAAGAATTTTTTTACTTAATTCTAGATGTTTTTTGCAGTGCACCATGCTTCCTGAAAGACACCAGCCTATACTGATTCTTTAGTTTTTCCCCTGACAATGATTCATGCGACAATGATTCATGCACTGAAAAACTGGTGGCAAATAAAAAAATCTGTCAACTTTCATAAATGACCTGTTTCACTAGGCAATAAAGTGAACATCTGATTGTTTAGCATGCATATCAGTTTGTGAGCAGACCAATCGGTCTGTCTACATTAAGGTTTGTTCCACCCACTGCGTTCTATGACTAAAGGCTGGTTCAAAAAGAAAATCCCAATGTGTGGCGAAAGAAATAATCAAATTAATGTTACAAAAAGGAATTCTGATTTTAAATGTAGAGTTCTGCACTTATCTATAGATCTAAAAACTTTACATATTATCTAAATCAGAGGTCTTCAACTGGGGGTCCGTGGCCCCTAGGGGGTCCTTGGAGGTACTGCATGGGGGTCGCAAAAGTTTTGATTTATTAGGCTTTTTTTTAATTCCTCCTGCTATTTTTTTCTACTAATTGAAATGTCTTTAAATACACATTAACATGACTTCAACACACTGTAGTAAGCAGATAAATGGAGGCAGAAGATGTCTTTCAGTCATCAATGCACACATTCAGTGACACACAGGAGCTCTTTCAAGCTGGGCACCGTTTCATTCACAACACCTGTCCCATCAACCAGGAATCAGAATAAGAAATACCTTAATAATCCCAGGGCAAAATTACTTTCGTTACAATACTAATATTTTTAATAGAGTGGCTGTAGGACCAGTTTGATATAACACAATTTCATACAATATAAATAATTAGGGGGTCCCCGCTCCATCTCGCCATCAGTTTGGAGGTCCTTGGCCTGGAAAACATTGAAGACCCCTGATCTAAATGATTACATGTAATGTAATGGTAGTGGACTGATGGAGTCCGATTGAATTTTTGGTTCTTTCTCCCTAAAAAGATCTGAGCAGGCTTTTAAAATACTTTTATTTGCAATTCATTATAAAAATGTAAAATATAGAGTAATTTATTTTGCTTTTGTTTATAATGGAAGAGCGATTTCCAAGACCGGACACCTGAAGGTGTCCGGTCTTGGAAATTCCCTTCCAGTTCTTTTCCTGGGAGCAATCAACTAAGTTTAACCGCTCTTTTGCTAAATGCTCTTAAGTTTAGAAAAGTGAATAAAGCAATAATAAAATGTTTAACAGGATTTATTCCAGATCAGAAGTAAGACTGTGTACTCTATGTACTCTGCTTATTATATAGGTGATATAACAACAGCATACTTGACTAATAAAGAAAAATGCTAAAATGTTTATTTTACATCACAAAACAAAGGGATTTACTGTAAGTAGCCATATAAACAGGAAAAACAAGAGAGATCATAGCATGACAACAACTGCAGATGCAATACCTGACCTCAACAACACTCACTAAGCTCTGCCTTTCCTTATTCTTTCCTTATATGTACCTGTTGCTTCTGCAGAAATGTGGTGTTAATAAAATACATTTCATGCATGAAATATAAGGAATGTATGTCATCACAGATTTTTTTTCAATAAATTTGTTATTATATTTTGTTTTATAAAACTAGAATCTTGAAAGCATTTTGACAACATTCTTTCATACTTTCTGACTGATAAAGTCGGACTGAGAATGACTGCATTGGAGTGGAATATACTGAACAAGGTTTTATAAGCTTCTGAATCATTAAGTTCACAGTTTCTCCCACAACTGTACTCGCTCTCATTAAAAATTTTTATTTTAATCACTGAATTCATTTCAACACTTAAAAAACCCACCTTTCCAAGTAATGCATGTGGGTATTGCTCAGGTTTCAATGCCATCTTCGTTAATGCCTTCCCCGCCACTTTACAGTTTCTTTCCCCAACCAACTCTTTTTAATCCAATTAGCAGCACTGGTGACAGTTATTTATATGTGCATGAATTAAATGTGAAAAGAGTACCTCCCTTGGGGGGCTGATTGGGTGAAGCACAGCCTTTCAAAAGCTTTTTTCTTGATCACAATCCTGCACTGCAGCTGATCTCCATCATGAGGCAACAGCGGAAACCTCACAGCCAAGGACAACCGCTGGTCCTTCTGTCTGCGACTTGAAAACCAAACGCTGCCCAGTTTCTGTCCTCAGAACCGCAAAAGCCGTTTCATGTGTCAGCGAGGCTCTTAAAAAGAACATTTTTTGACACATTCTAATTTTGAAGTTTTAATAAGCCTTCCATCAGTGCTCAGGTTGATCTTAGATCTTCGGTTCTGTTACTTTTTGTCGCGTGGACTGAACTGTCGGTGGTGCCAAATGAGCAAGCAAGCTGCCAAATCTGACTCGCTTACCCTTTTGAACTCTTTGCCAACTAGTACTTTAGAGAGAGTAGAGAAAGTAACTGCTTTGAAGGTTTAAAAAAAAAAAAACAGTTTAAATGTGTTGAATTTTAGAAATTAGACTAATTAGCGATGCCATTTTTAGTAGAGTCAGAGTCACTAATGTTTATGATTGGTCCTAAGATGTTTAGTCCACACTGTCACTTTAACATGTTGTGTAGTTAATTATAAGACAATTAGATATAACTTGATGCTCCAGATGGCTTATTTTGGCGTAAAGAAATGTAGAAATGGAATCACAACTGGCTCCAGAACACAAAGAGACACATTTCCCTACACTAGATCTTAAAAATTGGCAGTAACACCACAGCCAAGAAGATTCCAACACTCTTTAGAACTACCTGAGTGAATCGGTCTCCTCTTTATGGTGTCACAAAAAGAAAATGGAAAAAAAGAACACCACCTTACAAATTTGACTTATTTTATGCAGATTTATATATTTTATATTAACAAAAACCTGATTAACAGAAAAAAAAAAAATTTAACTAATTTTAGAGTGAAGCAGGGCGTAGATTCAGTGCCTCATGTCCCGACCTCTGGAGATTTGTAGCATGTCTATCAGCCATTTTAGTAGCTGAATGTTATGACTTTAAGTCACTAATGCAGTGAAAAATATCTTACAAACAGAAATAAGTAATTTAACTTTAAAATTAAACACTCCAGGCTTAATAATTTAATTGGTGGCTATATACAGAAGCGCTGATGAGTGACTAATAACATTTTAGAAAATTCCTCCAAATACAATAGAAAAACACTTTTTCCTTCCAGTGGGAAAGACCTGGGTTTTCAATCCAAACCTGAAATCTGTCTGCTTGGAGTTTGCATGTTCTTCCTGTTCATATTAGGGTTCTCCCCACAGTTCAAAAAACATCTTAGGTTTACTGTACTTGGTGTGGATCCCAATCAGACAATACCGATCGTATCAGCATCTATCACTTGAATTAAAGACTGATAAACAGTTAGTCCAGGTAGATAACTACAGCTCCTGTTTCTGAACTTAAGAATTTTTGTTTTCTTATTCTGTGTCTACAGAGAACATTAGATATGAGCTGTTTTTTTTCATGTCTCAGCCTAATAAAGGAACGTGTTTGAGTGCAGGTGTAATTTATACTTACAGTCCATCTTTATGTACCAGTTCCATCAGCTATGTCTAGCATTAGCTTGAACATTAAACAGCTGTTGCAAAGCTGCCTACAGACGAATTGACTAGTTTATTGCGTGACACATGGTATTCTTATAACGTTGTTATTGCTACATTAATGCATTTAGATCAGGTTGATCTCAGATCTTCGGTTCTGTTGCTTTTTGTCACGTGGACTGAACTGTCGGTGGTGCCAAATGAGCAAGCAAGCTGCCAAATCTGACTCGCTTACCCTTTTGAACTCTTTGCCAACTATTACGGTACTTTAGAGGGAGTAGAGAAAGTAATGATAGTACTGCCAGCTAACTGCTTTCAAGGTTTTAAATATATTTTACATTAATATATTATTATTACATTAATATAATGCATTTAGATCG